GGAAGCATAATAATATGGACAACTGGCTGAAAATTTCATTCCTTTGTGAACTCCACTGTCTCTCCAGGTCAATTTAATTATTCAGACAAGATTAACAAAGAGAGGAAGAAGTCTCATCACTAGACCTCAAACCATGTGCCAACCACATCCTTCTGTCAGGAGAGAGGATGACTTTGACTAAAAGAGAGCAGAGAGACTTACAGTGGGACTCTGGATGTCCTTCATGACATTGGGTAAGTCATTTGAGCTCTTTGTGCCTCAGTTTCCCCACCTGTGAACTCTCCATCACGACAGCACACACAATCACAGGCTCATTCTGAGACTTTAAGATCCTTAGATGAGAGTTGCGAGAAATTATTATTGACTCAGTAAGTATGTTAAGAAGCAAAAATTCTGATTTTCAGCTGAGTCAATAAGGCTGTCCCACATATAAAGCTCTCAGCATAATAGTTCTTAAGGGTTTAGAGAGCCTGAGTTACAGCCTTGTTGAGGTAGCTTGCAAAACAGCAGCAATGTGCACAACCTAGTATGTGTTGACACACTTGTCACTGGAAGCCAGATTTAGGTGAACATGAAGGTGGCAGCAGACAGATACCCCAAACCTTGACAGAACTAAATGGTAGGAAACGTTTTAGTAAAGATCTGGCATTTGCCTACAGGCCCAACACTACAAAGTGCAGGGCACTGTTTCTGTGACAGCCATTCACTTAACCCTCAGTACTGCTTCACTCAAAGCTGCCTGAACAGTCTCAGACATTATCCTTACAGCTCTACAATTTCTTTATTAAACTTCTCAGACCTGGGCTTGTATGAAATCCAAGAGAAGTCACCAAAAACTCAGCATGCAACCAGCAGACCTGTGCAGCATGCTTGACCGTCTTCCTGCTAGGTGTGCATAACTCCTGATGTCCAGTCTTCTCTAGAGAAAGAGGACAAGAGGAAAGTTCATTGTTTCCTCAACAATTTGCAAGAATATCTGAATCAGAAAATGAAGTTTTGTCATTTGCATGGCAAAGAGAGCAGGGAAAGAGAGGAAGTATTGTTAGGTATTGGTAATGTAAAAACATAAGTATGCTGTTATTTATGTAATTAGTTATTGCTTTCATTATGGGTGCAGTCTTAATGGTTATAGTATTTATGTATAATTACCTTAATATTCACTGAAATTTCCAAGTAGCTCCCTAATTAACTGTCTCAAATATATAATTACATTGCATCTTTACGCAAGACTTGCCTAATTAATGTAGTTACACCACTTCTTTGTGAATGTGCATTATTAAATGCTCTTCGCATCATTCTTCTGACTTCTTGTAATTCACTCTTTACAAAAATTAAGACCCTGAATTAGAAACCTTCACAAGCAACCAGCTCCAAAAGCAAGCGCCAGATGATCTTTTCTTAACAAAAAACAAATCTTACTAAGCCTCATTACCACTCCTTTTAACAAAAGCCTTCCATCTGGATCTGAAAGAAATCCCAGGTACCATTGTCTTTTAAGAGGGCATAGAAAACATGTTGTACATATATTTAAAGAGGAGAAGACTTTGCTGCCATCAAGGGTCCAAACTCCTGGACTTCCTAACCCATCCAACAAGCCCATCTAGCAAAGGGATCAGGTGACTGCTTGATAGCACCCCAATCACTTAACAGCGTCAGGTGGCATCTTCAAAATACAAAAAAGTAACCAGAGACTTTGGGAGACTGTCATTATCCTCCAAAACCATGTGTGACATGATTTAAATCAAGAATTTTGAAATCCTTTTTCCCAAGTGTTCCACCTCTGTGCTTGGCACACTGCCAGCTACTTTGAATTGCCCTGCATGTCACAAGTTACCAGTGTCTCACAGCTTGGGGGCTTTCCCTTGAATTCAGTTCCCAGCTCCATGGGCAAAGACCGAATGCCACCATTGACCAACAACGCATGTGAAGGGAAAGTTTCTGCTGTGAAGAATTTAATTGCATTTATAGATTGAATTCCTCTGATCCTGCAGCCAAGTAATGACCAGAGAAGAAGATTAAGAAGAAATTCTGGGACCTTTTCCTGTGGCCAGGTTTTTCTCAGGGGTCATTTATGCCCATATTCAGTTGAGGACATTACCAAGCTACTGAAGTTGCAGAGAGGTTAGGCCAGACACAGTTTCTCTAACCAGGAGTAGATGCACTGGGAAGTAGCAGAGCCAATTGCACACAGAGAATCTAGTTGGCAATAAGAACACGACAAGCCTTACAATGTCCTCCAGTAGCAATGGACTCAACCTTGTCCAGCTTGTTCAAAGGCAGGGTTTTTCACACCCTGGGTCTTTTGAAGAACAATAGGCTATTCACCACATTTTCCAAGTATGTATGTACTACTTAAAGTGTTACTCCAACAGTTGGGATTTGGAGAAAATCTTCCCAAGCATACTTGTAGACACTACAAGTGCTTCAGCAAGTGACATCCACCTGTAAAGCGAGTGAAGTGGGGGAAGAGACATGCTTCAAGGACATTTACTCAGAAAATGTTCACTTGCAGAACTGAGCGGAAGGCTGACAGAACTATGACAAAGATAGTTGCTGTCAGTTCCAAATAACCTGGTTTTTACATTAGTTATCCCTTTCCAGTGTGAAATTTGACTTGACACGTATTCATGGCAACTAAATCTCAGTGGTACATTGGCAAAACCTCTGGAGCTTAGGACCCAGGCTTACATGTACTTACCTTTGCAAAGTTTTCAGCAATGAGCTGTCAAATATAAGCATTACAGGTATGTAAAACTAAGGACCTCATGCCATTTCAGCTCCAGGTGCAGTCGTTACATACTAGCACAAGGATATTCCACATATAAACTGTGCCATACAGGAAGGGAACCTGACCCTGATAAGTCTGCTTGGATATAGATATAATTACTTTGGTAAGCAAAAAGTTGGCATGGCTGAGCTTTATGAGGCAGGCTGATATTTTCAAGTGTAGAAATGCATAGTTAGTCACCTTAATAGATAGCCTGAGTTTCAGAAGTTAGAAAAAGAGCTGCTGTGTACATCTTCAAATATCCTGCCCTGCTCCTCTGTATTTTGGCCATTTAATAGGTACATCGTGTTTTTCCATAGAAGTCCTAAACTACCTATATCAAACAAACCTGAGCCTAAACAGGTTCAAGCACCGAACAAATATTAAATTCATCATTGCCAGCAAATGGCTGCTATTTTAAAAGAGCCTTTTGCTTTTTGAAATAGCAGATGCCAGCTCATACCCTGAATGGATACAATAATTAAGCCCTTTGTATAGCAGTATTTTAGATAGATGTTTAACATATCAGTTGAACATGTTTCAGCCAGCGTGTGACACACGCATGGAAAATACACTATCATTCCAATGTGGGGTTTTTCCACTTGCTTTTTTTCTTTTCAGTTCTGTAGTACGCAAAGAGTTACTGAAATAGCCAGGCATACAACATCTGGGAGAAAAAAAACACACACAGGAAAATGCAGCAGAAGGGCAAGATTCATGAAAACAGGAAACATTAAGAGGAGAGTGAAAATATGTCAAAACAAAGGAGGTAATAGACTGTCAGAACGAATGAGTTCACCAATCGGCAGAAGTTCCTCAAGAGCCTTCAGAGACCAGCCAGGTGACGTCTGCCACTCCTGACACAACAGGACAGCAACCTTTTTAACCTCCATTTTTGCACACATACGAAGGATGGTGATCTGCCCATAGACATGCTCGTGATAGGAAATAGCAGCATTTAAAGAGTACTGCTAACAGCAAGTGCAGATGGCCACAGGTGCCCAGCAAAGGTGTTTAGACCTAGTTAAAGCACCTTTTACAACATGCACATCCTTTTCACCAATGTTGACACAAATAGCCTTTTATTTGCCCAAAGCTTTGCCAGTGCTTCTTGCCTTCCAGGCACACAAGAGTATTCATTTGCTTCCTTCATCTTCCCTCGTGTTTCCATTCAGAACAGTTTAGCCTCTCACTCAGATGCTATCAATAATATTCTGTGCATTGGGATAGTTTGAGAACAGAATAGAAAGTGGTAAATACCCAAAGTGAGCAGCTCTCACTCAGACTGAGCACTGTTCACCCAAGCTCAGGCAATGTTTCATTGACAAATGCAAGTGTAGAAATCAGGACATGGTGCAACATGAGGAGCTGTGAAAGCAGAGGCCATTCTGCATGAGATTACACAGACTTTAAAGCCTGTCAAAGCAAATCTCCCCCCGCCTTTCTGAGGGGACCCTCGGATAGAGAGAGCCTTTGTAAGACATCATCAGCTCTTGAATCTCTATAACTTTAGACAGAAAAGCAGCCAGGTATCATCTGTACAAAGACAAGTTCCTTGTGTGGATTTTCTCAGTCTTCTTATCACAAAACTATCTAGGAGGATTTCGACTGAGGAGATGAGGTATCTCAATGCTTTGTAACAAACCGATTCCCAGCCTGTGAGAAATGAAGGATGTGAAGGCAATTTAAAAAACAAAAAAGACCAGAAAAACTCACAAAAAAACAGTTCAGTGTAGCCTCACCCATTGGCTTTCTTTATCACTTGCAACAGATATGTGGGCTCTACCCATTTCACAGTATTTCCCTCTCACACAAAGGCCATTTAGATGTGTAACTCCTGTTGACTTTCAAAAGAGAGTAAGCACTTAAATGCATTTGTGCCTTCAAAAATCTCCCCCTAGTGACACAGCAGTAAAATTAAGCCTCCAAGACTTGCAATAAAATGTGTTCACCAGTGCCCTATGAAACACCCCAAATAAAAACCACACTTGCTCTTGGGAATGGAAGCAGTGCATGGAACAGAGCACAACTTTTGCTTTTCCAGCATAACTAGCCCTCTCTCTTCACTGACAGGAAGGGGAAATGATCCTGGCATAGGATTTGCCCTGCCCAGGGCAAGTGGAGCCATCAGTTGAGCCCCACTTCTCCCAAGGGGCATGGTTCTCCTTCCCCTCTGGCACAGGGGGAGGAGTGGGGAAACCTTGGGACCAAAGCCACCGTGGGCCATGGGCACTGCAGAGGGGCTGAGGAGAGGACAAGGTGGACACTGGCAGCCGTGCAACAGAGGTTCTGGCCTAAAAATTCCATCAGCTTCAGCCCCAAAAGTTGTCAACTGAAGGGCACACCATCTCCATGAACCTGTATCAACACATGGACTTGAAAAAGACTACAAGAGATAAGTGCTTTGGAATAGCTGCCCCCACCCCAGGGGCAATGCAAACAGTTGTTAGATGCCAGCCTTGGAAAGAGCTGTGTCTCCAGTTTATCTCCTTGGAAATTGTGAGCTTGAGCTCTCCCTTCAGCATTGCAACTGCACTGCCATTGCCATAGGTGTTTCATTTTACTTCAAAAAATGTTAAAAACTTTCGCAATCTCCAATTTTGGCTTCAAAGATACCCAAAAATCCTGTGCTGTGCACTCAAGATGTCAACATGATTGCAGAGTAAAGTATCATTCCTGGGCATCTGTCAGGCTGCAGCAGATGTTGGGCCAAAAGATAAATGACTACAGACCCTGAAAGTTCATTGTAATCCAGCACCATGTTGCATTATATAAAGACCTGCCCCTCTCTGACCACAGATCCCCACAATTATCAGGCAAACAAGATCCCCAACTGCCCCAGATGAAAGACCAATAGCAGCTGCCAGGGCTGCCCTATAGAAGCACAGAGAGCAGCACACACTTCAGACCCAGCCATCAGGAGGACGTGTGACCCCACTCCAGCCCCTGCGAGTGAGCAGCACTGAGCACGGCACCGTGCTCAGCAGGACACTGGGAAGTGAATCCCTAACCACACATCTCATTTTTACAAAGTTAATGTTCACCATTACCTGAAAGGCAACTCTTCCACAAAGTGATGATCATTCGCAGCAACAATGAAATCAGGAAACATAGAGGGGGTTAGGGGAAAAAAAAAAAGGAAAAAAAAGCCTCTTAATTACATACAGTGCTGCATGACTTCACAGAGCAAAGCTTTTCTTTAAGATCTTAAGACCACCCACAAGCATAACACATGGCCTGGAACCTGAAGAGAATATCTGAACAGGGGTCTCAGCATAAGGATGGGAGGGGGGCAGTTTTGCTTGGGCATATGCAAATGTTTGCTTCTATGGGATCAAATAAAAATTAACTATTTGTTGTGTCTGCTTATCATTTGTCAGAGCTGGGAGCTGCTTGGTAAAACGGAGAGAAATAAACCTTTAAAACCTGTGACACAGGAGGATTATTTGTCTGTGCAAGGCTTTAGTCACGTGCTTTGGTGTTTTATGTATGGATGTTGTGCGGGAACAGGACAACAAGGGCTTTGTTCAACTTGATCATCTCATCAAACAAGGCTAAAAGAATAAAAGTTGGGATGCAAGACTAAATGGATATGATCTGAATGCATATTTGTGTTACATCTAATACAACTAGCATCATAGATGAACAAGATCAAATAAATGGTAAAACCTGACAAAGAGAAGAATAGATGGTGTGTGGAGCCATCTGTTTTGGAGGACACCCAAATCTGTCTGAATCAGGAAGGCCAAACTACCAGCTATTCTAAGATCCTCCATTCCAAGAGTGGCCTAATACGCAACTACACAATCAGCTTCTCTCACCATCACTTTGGCTGCAACTTTTTTGTGCAATTAAGTAATTTATTCCTTTCTTCATCCTCCTGATTCTAATGAATCCAAGCCACAAACAAGCCCCAGTTGCTCCTATTCAAGGAGTCTGATTGCATCTGGCAGTAATTGCTGAAAATCCTGAAGAGGAAACAGGGAAGGAAAGCATATTGTTTGTGGGGGTAATAGGTGAAGACCTGCCTCTCTTGACCTATAATACATTAGTGTCAGTGAACATTTGGCAGCCTTCAGATGATTAGCAATGAAGATGAATCAAGCAAAAAAAGAGGTAGAAATCTGCCTCATCTGAATCGCCAGAACTGCATAAATTTGCATGTTGATTAGCTGTTCTTTTGTCTGTGTTCCTAATTATTATGACACATTATGTCTTCATCATGCAAGATTCTGATCTGTCTTGTTCAAAATGCATGTACAAAAAAGTGCTGTTTATTGATTCAACATGTAACTTTAATTTTTATGTTTGCTTTAATTAAATACATATTTGATTGCCTTTGACTGGTGCCTCCGATTTTTTTAACTCTTATTTACTTCATTCTGTTGACAAACAAACAGGTAACCTTTCTTTATTCTCAGATCACTTGCTGATTGAAAACCTCCCCACCCCCACCCTTGTCTTCACTCACAACAACCTTTGCTTCCCTGTTAGAGCAAAGATTACCAAAAAAACTCCTTAGGTGGTGAAGTGTGATATCTACAGCACTGAGCAGGATTGCAAGGACCTCAAAAGCATTGACAATAGGAAAGAAGTGCACACACTACAGGGTCAAGGTAATTTTCTTGTACCACAAATTCATTAGCAACAAGCCCAGGGAAGTACCTCAGTCTGCAGATTTTCTGATTGCCAGGATTAGTTACAACAGGACAGATCCTGCACACACGTTTTCCCACTGATTTTCATGGTAGCCAGCTTAAACTCCAAAGCTCCTGAGCCCAGAGAAAGTGAAGTCCCCACCATTCCATTGATTCTCCTACCTGGTTCCAATGGTCAGAACATCTTATCTGTTTCTAGGAACTGGGAAACTTGAAATTAACATTTCTTTCTTCAAGCTTTGTTCAAGGGGCTATAAGCAGCCAAATCTAATTAAAGCCAAATCAAAAGGTAACATGTAATTATCAGTTGCTTTGACCCAAAATAAGTTCCAAAAGTTTTCCTTTATTAAAAAAAAAAAGCAAAAAAAAAAAATTTACCAAATTATACCATTCCAGCAAAAAAAATTATTTACTCAAAATAGTTTAAATTTATATTTAATCTCTTTCATTTTACTTTTTTAAAATAGACTGGAAGTAATTTTGAAAATTAAATACCATTTGTAGTTGTGAAATCAAAGTATTTCATTGTAGAACATATTGGAATGTTTAGAAATGCTGAAATGAAACAGGTTTTTGGCCATTTTTTTTACTTTTTTCCCCAAATTGAAACAATTCCCTATAAGCAGCAAAAATTCATTACTCTCTTTGTTTGACAGAAAACAGCATGTTTTAACCAAGAAATCAGTTTCAGATTAAACATTTGACCCTCTCTTCTGATGGCTAATATTAGTTTACCTTCATTACATGTGTGCTTATTGCGAGCTCTGACCTGTTTGTAATAGGGCAAACAGTACTTTGCAGGAATTTTTGTTTGTTAAATAAAAATAAACATAGTCTTGTAATTTAGAAAACTAAATAACTCCCAGATCTTTTCAAATAATTCTTCAGATTCTGGGTCAAATATGAGGATCATCAACATTGACTGACTTCCTCTAACCTAAACTTTTTTTTTTTTAATTTCCAAAATCCACCTCTTGGAGAAAAATGGTGAACGACCCATTAAATTTTGTCTAATGGCAATAGGAAAATGCCAGTCAGTGAACAGATATTAATCAAAGCTGTACTGATAAAGATGCCTGAAGGTGAAAAACCCTGTATATTCAAGCAATTGATTTAGCTGTTATTTTTTACCATCATACCCTTGCCAAACCAAATGAGATTTGAAACAACAGTGCCTGCCGTTTTTCACTGTTAATGGCACAAGATTGGCTGCAAGTGTAATCAGTTGCTTGGCACCCACTAATCATCTTGAAACACAGGTAAATGTAAATCCACGTTTGTAAGAATAGAAACACAATTAACACGTAGCTGCAGAAAAACTACTCAGACATAAAGACTTAAAGGTTTTGACATTGATCTCTAAGGTAGGAAGGAAAAAGTTGTTGCATATTCAGGCTCTTTGTGTTTATTTTTGTTCAGCGCCAAATGCATTTGGTCCCAACCTGATGGTACACAGTATCCACCCCCATGGACCTCTGTTACACCACCAACAGCCAGAAGGAGCTAAAAGAAATCTTACACATAGACACAAATAACCACAGGGAGCTCTAATGAGAGTTAATGGACTTTCTCTTTTCTGTAATTCTCTTCCTGAGGTGCTTCAGCACACACTGATCTGCACAGGGGCACGACAGCCCTGGGCTCACCCAGCCTCCCCAGCAACCAAGCAGAGCTGGAACAGATCAGTGTGCTGCAGGCTGGGGCAACATGCAATGGACAAGTGGGCATTCTTTTACATATGGCCAAAGCTACCTTCATTTCAAAATCCTACAAAGTGCTCTCACCCCTTTGATCAGAGGATAAACTGTTTACCAGTGTGGTGACAGGACAGGGCTTTTGGCTGCAGTGACTACACGTCAGAACTCATTCTTGTCCTGAATTTAACCTGGCAATGTTGTCTGGCTTCCTCATGCTGCCCAAGATTGTTCCGGAGTCCAACCCAGAAGATCAAAGTCTTGAAAGAGGGAAGATGGGGAACACCAGCTGGGGAATTACCAACATATTGGGAATTGACTGTCACCTAGCCTTGAGAAAATCTATCCTGTGGACATGAATTCTTCCTAACCAAAATCCAAGAGGGTTCCCAATTACCAGGACATTTCCTATGATTTCTAGCCAAAGGGCAGCTTGAACTAAACCTGCTAAAGGTGACTCTTTTAGATCTGTCACAGTGTGGATTGAAGCCAGGACATGGAACTGGAGCTGTTCAAGTGGCATTGATGGATGACACCCTCCTGTCAGTGGAGAGAGGCATCCATCCTCATCCTCCTTGACTTCAACATTAACCATGAGATATTGCTGTCTCACCTGATGGGTGGCAGAAGTCCAGGGTAATGTACTAAAATTATTTTGAATTGTTCCTTCTGGTACACACCTCCTGACTTGTGAAGGAGTGTTGTCTCCAGCACTACATTTCTCTCTCCTGTGGACTCCTGATCTGTATTTTTTGAGGTGCCTCCCTGTTTCTACAGGAAGCTGCTGAGTGATACAGTATGAACTGAACTGCTGGAATGGGCAGGTGAAATACAGCTATACCTAAATTTCTCTCCATGCACACACCCTGCTACCACCAACATGGCAGTGAAA